TGGGAATAATAACAATTTTTATTATTTATTCCCTTGGTTTTTAGCATCATCAGATTCTAAAAATCTTTTATCCACAGCTTTTGGTCTTTATCTTCCTTTTGTCTTTTCCTTTTCTTGTTTCTAAAGTTTTTTAATATCTTGTCTCTTTTGCTTCTTGTAGTTTATCAAAAACTTTTTATTTTCTTCGCTGTTTCTTGTTGTCGTTTTATCTTGCTATCATCCCAAAGGTGTGTATACTTTTCTGGCTGTGCGCTAAGTCTCGTCTAATTTAGGTATATGGGGCTTGGCCGATCATCTATCTTAGTGCGCTATGTAGTTGGCCCAAGTAGATATTTTCCCTTTTATATTTTCCTCTTTTTACTTTCGATGCTCGTGGTCCCTTGTGCGAGTAGGTTAGAGACTTATTTCCATTGGTATAGCAAGTAATGGACCTTGCTTGTTGTATTCTTGGGATAAGTGCCTTGCCAATATATTTTTTTTTTCATTTCTGTTTTTAGTATATGTATTTAGAAACAATAGTTTCTTATTAAGTTTTAATTTTAGATGCTATGTCGAGGAAAAGGAAGTTCAGTCCACGGTCGTTTGGTGGCTCTTCACAACCAAGTGCAGAACTTAAAAGCACAAATTGCGGTTAGAAATTCTCAGTCCTTTAAAGCAATCTGAGAAGAATATATACGAGAATCCAGGTATCGGCAACTATTTGTTGAACAGGATAGTTTGCGAGTTCGGGTTGCAAATTCGGAGAATGAGCTCCAGGAGTTGCAGCAAAATATGGCTGAACAAAATGAAACTTCTTTCTGTAATATTTTGTAAATAAAATATAATAAAATTTTCTAAATCTAATTCTAATAGTAATTAATGTAATAAAATAAAATTTGTAATAATCGATAATTATATAAATAAAGTTAAAAAAAAAAAATTTAATTCTAATCTAATAAATAAAATAATAAAATTGTAACGAATAATAAAATTGTATCGAAATAAGTTTGTAAAAAAATAATAATAAAGTATAATAAAGAAATTATAATAAAAATATAACGAATGAAGTTATAACAATAAAGCTATAACAATAAAATTTTGTAATGAAATATTGTAATAAATAAAATTATGTCGAAAAGTTGTAACGAATAATAAAGTTGTAACAAAAAATAAAATTATAATGAATAATAATTTAAATTCTGTTTTTTCTTGAATAAAAGTTTGATGAAAGTTGATAATAGTGTTCGATTAACAAAATATTTGAATTTTGTTAATATAAAATTGTTCAATAAAAGTTAACAAAATGTTTAAATTTTGTTAAAAATAATATTGTTCAAAAACATGTATATTTCTAATAAGAAATATTTTTTTTAACGTGTTGTATTAAATTTTGTTAGCACAACTATTTGTTATTCGAATAAAACAAATAGTTGTTGCAATGCCTATGCCGTCACCATAATCTGTCAGTAGATTGAGCAATTCACAGGCAGGATTCGAATGTATGACCCTACAATGGCCACACGACATCACCACTTTACTACAACAGGTAATTGTCTAATTTTCAAAATTTTCCTGTTTAAGATAGTTCCAGCTTCTTGTAAAGTGTCCAATTAGAATATAAGATTTCATGTGATTAAGTTGGTACAATGCAGGTGTTAGGTATAATATTGATTATTAAGTTTGGTAAAGTTTGTAAAATATCGAGATAATTCAACATCTACATCAACAATAATATCTACATCAACATAGTGCATACTTATCAAAAACAACACATACGAAAAAGATCTCCATATAGACGTCCAGAAGGGTAAATTAAATTAATAATAATAATAAGAATGATAATAGTAATAATAAAATTAATAATAAATGTTTATGTTTATAGAAAAGAAATAGGTAAAAATTGGTAAGAGTAATATAATATAAGGGGTAATAGTAATAATAATCATAATTATTATTATAACTAATTATTAGGAAGAATGTATAGATTAAATATTTAGAGAAAGAAAAAGAGAGGTTGGAGAAGAAAGTTAAGGTAATGGAAGATTGTAAAGATCGATGGAGACAGAAGTGTCAAGAAAGTGAAAAGATGTCATCAGATATGTTTGAGAGGTTGATAAAAGAAATAAGAGAAGAAGAAGGGTCTTTTGTAAGTAAGAAAGGTGGTAAGTGAAAGAAGAAATATAAGGAGTTGTATGAACAGGTAAAAGATGAAGAATAGTTGAAGAAGAAAGAAAAAGAACCAGTTGATCAAAGGTGGTATTGGGGTATTCACTTGAAAAAGCAAATCACGAAGTTGAAGAAAGATAAGATAATTTTAGGGGAAGGGTTGAAAAAAAGAGATGAAAGAAGATAATTTGTTTTGGCGAAGAAGAAAAGATGATTGGACGAAAGAGAAGGATATTTTGGAAAAGAAGAAGTTGATTTTGGAAAAGGAGAAGGAGATTTTGAATAATGAGAAGAATTTTTGGAAAAGAAAAATATGAGAAATATTATAGTAATTAAATAATTATTTTATCTAGTTAATTTAATATATACTAAATAATATACGATTTAATTATAGGGAGAATATGAAGAAAAGGGGTGAAAGAGAAGAGGTTGAAGAAGAAAATAGTATAGAAGGGGTAGTAGAAATTGAAGTTGATAGTTCTATGACTATTCGAGATTCAAGTGAAGATGATGAAGAAGAGAGGTATTATTATAATATAGCAATATTATTAGAAATAACAATAATAATAATATTGTAATTTTAATAATTTTAGATCGAAAAATAAGGGAGAAAGAAAAATTGTCGAAGAGGAAGAAAAGATTTTAGATTTAGATTTTGATAATGAAGATTGGGTAGATTGGCCAGTATTTGATTTAGGTGATGATAGAATAGAAGGAAGTAGTAAAGGTAGAAGGTTTTAAGAGTTGTAAGAATTATTTTCAGGTATAATAAAGTTAGAAGTTTTTGTTTGTTTTTAAGAAAATAGAGTGTAATGGTTCTAGAATTCATTACTAGGTCTATTTGTCAAGAAAAGTCTAATAAAATATGTAATTCTAATACTAATAAAATAAATAAGTGTTTAACAAAATTTAAATTCAATAGCCTTCAAAGATACTATAAGGATCTAGCAATAGGTCAAAATTGGAGCTGGCACCTATTGTCCTTTTTGTATGAGCCGGGTATAACAAGAATTGTTTGCCCTGTACAAGGATTACTAGCTACTAAAACTTAGAAATATCCTAAAATATAACCAGAGGAAGTAGTACTAATAATCAGGCTGTCAATAGCTATATATGGCCTTTAAATTCTAATAATATAAAGCTAACACTTTATATTATTTACAAGAAAGAGAAATAGCAAATCTATAAAATATAAAAAAAAATAATCCAATAAAATATAATAAAAATAAATTAATAAAATAAAGTTTGATAAAAGATAAAACCCAATAAGAAGAAATAAAGTCCAATAGAATATAGATTAGGCCTAAAAATAAAAGAAAGATTTATAGCTACAGAAATATGTTAGTAGATAAATTAGCATACATAATAATTTTAATTAAGCATTTATTGCCTCAATTCCTTTAGAATTGGTATACTCAAAATACAAAATACAAAATAATAGATTATAGTTGGCGAGTGAAGTGGGAGGTGAAAGCATAAACTCCGTGACAATACAATACAAATTTAAAATAATTTTAATAAAGAGGTACCTGTGTTAAACCAAAAATATAAATTCCTAGGATGCTTTTTCAAATAGCTTCTGCTGCTTTAAGGGAATAAAATAGTTTCTCTAAGAAAAATTAGTTTTTAATTCCTTATTAAAAATCTAAATTCTTTCAAAAAGAAAAATAATTCCAAGTAATGTGTTAATAATGTCCTAAGCCTTTGCCTCAATTCAAAGAATTGGATGCTGTCCAAAAGTTATATCCAAAATTAAATCCAATATTTAGCAGAAGTGTAATAAAATAAATAATATAATATATATGAAAATCCATAGTAGCATCTTTGCCTCAACTCAACAAGAGTTGGATTACAATACAAATACAAGATAAAGTATTCTTAGTGTTTTAGTTTAGTTGAAATAAGTCCAAGCCAGTTATCCAAAAAGTAAAGTTCAAAGTAAGTTAATATCCAAGAAAATAAAACCAGTTTGCCTTTAAATAAAGTTAGAGAGGGCTGTAGAAAGCTGAATGATAGAGGTCCTTAGTTTTTGTAAAGGTTGTTGATGAACAGAGTTTTGAGCTTCTGTTATAAGAATAAGACCAATATTTATTATCTTCTGGCATTGTTGTAAGAATTGTTGTCTTTGCTGTTGGCCTTTTTGTTTTTGTTTTAAAAGTCTCTTTTGTTGTCTCTTTTTCCAAAAGTAATAACCTTTTGGTGCATTGCTTTTAAAGAAGAATACCATGGTGGAAGAGAAAATAATAATATCAAGTCATATATAAGGTCTTAAAAGGGGAAAAGAAAATAAACTTGGAAAAGAAAAATAAAGTGAAATAAAAATTTAAAATAAAATAGAAAAATTGAAAATTCAAGGTATTGATACTATGCTAAGAGGGTTTGTAACTTAGAAAGAAAATGTAAGGGGACTCTCTACGAATCTAAAGAAAGTGAGAACATTCAAAACAGTCAAGTGAATGGTGAGATATTAAGGGTCAAAATTTGTGTAATAATATTCGTAAAGACAAAATTTTAAAGAAATTTATAGTAAAGAAAAGGGAGTGAAAACTTTGACAATTTTTGGAGAGACAGGGAAGCGTTTTGGTATTAAGCAACCTATATACCAAAAGATAAAGAATATTTTCAAGAATATAAAGGAGGTGAGATTTTTAAAATAAGGTCAATATTCGTAGAGTTATTAAAGAAAAACTAAAACTAACTAATGAAAAGTAAAATTTTAAGAGAAGATAAAGGGGATAAGAAAGAACAAAGAAAGAATAAGAGAGAATGGGTAAAATACAACTAAAAATAATTATTCTAATAAATTTACAATAGAATAAAATAGTTTTCATCAGGGATTGTTGTTTTGTCAGAGTTTTTGCTTTACTTTCCACCAAGAATTTTTTGCTTTCCACTAAGAATTTTTGCTTTCTGCCAGGAGGCACCAAAATGTTACAGGGTTGTAGCCTTCTTAGTAAAATACAACCAAGTAACAAGGTCACCCAGTGCA